TAAATAGTATCTCTAATATCTAAAAAGTATATAGGAAAGTATAAAGAACCTGACAAGGGAGTGAAATAGAAATGGTGAAAACCAGAAAAATTTGTTGCCTGAGAGCTGCTTGTCTGCTACATAAATGGTACTCCTTGGACAGAAATCCCATCTTTTACCTTTAAACCATTCAGTGAAGTCTAATTGGGTTTGATTCAGCAAAGGCAAGTGTCAGTAGATTCCTCTGAGCTGGCATTAACGAGGCATAGTAAGTGATCATTTGGGGGGGCTTGACAACACGGGAAGTTCCAGTCGAGTACAGAAAGCTAAAAGCAGCAAAGTGAACGACGGGTGTTTGTAACTGTTTCTACTCGGACTCTTTGGAGTCAGATACAAGTTCTGAGTGTGAGAATTCCGGCCCAGTTCCACTTGTTCTTTTTCTTTGAGTGTCTATTTTCATAGCATGTAAACATGTTTCAATAGCTAACTTTTATCTAACACTTAATTTCAGAGAACGTTTACAAAAGGCGTTCTAGGTGCAAGAAGGTCGGTTAATACTGTACGGGGCAAAAATGGGCGACATACATTAACACGGTTGGGAGCCAACAACCAAGTGATTTCCGCTTAGTCTTTTATTCCAGTCAGGTGATGACGCTTCTCTACTCTTTCTTCAAAGCACTGAACTTATTTTATCACCGAACATTTCCCAGGTTCTCTGCCTGTTGCTTCTAAGGTAGAGTCAGGCTGGTGATCTGTTCGTGCCTTTCCTGAGCAGTCTGTAATGTGTGCCAGTCGGTTGCCCAGGCTGTGGGCACGGTACCCGTTCTCAGGATAAAGGGGTCGATAAGCAACCCCTCTGCCCCCTACATCTCTGTTTGAAGCTTGCCCTTTCCTGCCGACTTGGACTTTGTTGTTCACTCTGATGCTTAGATTTGTTTGTTTGTTTGTTTGTTTCCTCTCTCACGCTTAGTTTTTAAGTCCCGACAATGGTTATGGTTCACTCTGTAAATTTCTGATCACTTTCCCGAGGTAGTGCCACTCTGACTTCTGTTTCAGACATCTGTACGTTTTGTTGTCTTTCGAATACTGACTGCACGTGCCGTTTTGCCGTCTGGGTGACACAGGCTGTAGAGGCAGCTGCAAAGCCGGGGTGGGGCCTCACAGACTTTCACCTGCTGAGTGTGGACTAAGTCCGAGTTCTGTGCCAACCTCGCTCAGCAGTGGGAGTGGAAACAACGCCTCCTGCATCGTAGGGATGGTGCTGGAAGTACGGACGCAGAGATTAGCAAAGTCCATCCCTACCCGCAAGCGACGTCCCGTCTAGTGGGAGACATGAAAACATTCCCAACACTGTCCCTATAATTAGGGCTACATCAGAATTGGGCCCAAGGTGCTGGGGGGACCCTGAGCACAGTGTGCTGGGCTCTCCTTGTCTTAGACTCAGAGCTCATGACGCCACCAGCCACCATTTTAGCCGATCTTCCCAACAGTCGAGTCATCTGAGAGTTGGTGATAAGGAAAATCCCCTGATGTCAAGGTTAGCAATTAGTGTTAAAATTCTTCTGGTGTTTTCACCTGCCCTGTGTTTGGGTGACATAAAGCAACGGCAGGATTCTGTGCCCCCTCCCTCCTTCTCTCCCTCTCTCTCTTCCTCCCTCCCTCCCTCCCTTCCTTCCTTCTTCCTTTCTTTCTTGCCTGTATCTTTTTTCCCCAGTGTTCTATAGTTTTCCTATACCCTGCTTCGTAATTCTCAAAGCAACATTTTGACTGAAAAGTGTTCTACTAAAAGTAGAATTTCAGCAGTTTACATCTGAGTTTCTGTTCTATAGGACGCAGCTCTACCATTTAAATTGGATGGGAAAGAAAACAAAATGCCTTTGGAAACCAACACGTCTCGGGATTGATTATCCAGGAAGGGGTGATGGGATTATGCATTATTATTACCTCTTCTCAGCACCCCCTGCTCTCTCCCTCATTTCTCCCTGCAAGGGATCCGAGGCCTGTTTGAGTTCCGCTTGCATCCACTCCTGCTTTCTTACCTCCTCGGCCACACTGGGAGCTGCTAAGAGGTCGTTTGCTGTGCCTCTTTCTCCCTCCAAAGCCCCGGAGGACCTAGGACATCGGGCACAGGGCACAGTAACTGGTTGCCCGTCTCGATGGACCAGGCGGTGGCCGTGTTCTGTGGATTTGAAAGGCAGGTACTTGCCGTGACCTTCCTGCCCCCCGAGCAGAGGTGACCCCGGCGTGGGGAGAGCAGGTGCGGAGCCTGCCAGGAAGCCGCAGGCCGGCGGAGCGGGCTGCGTGCCATGCAGCCTCAGCTCTACCCGGGGACACGTCCAAAGGGCACTCTCCCTTATCTGCTCTGGCTGGAAGCAGGCAGGGCCAGGATGTCCAGTGATCTGTGCAAAGGCCAGTCCTCCGGCCGGAGGTCACGGTGTTGCCTCACTCCCCAGGGATCTCGTTTAGCTCTTCTTAACAGGAACACCGGGTGTTTCTCTACATAAATCTCAGGTATCCTTTAAAAGCAGCTGACAAGTAAAATGATAAGATCTCAAAACATTCTAACTGCCTGGATGTAATGACAGGGAGACTAACATTTAGTCAAAGGTCAGTTCCTCCCGTTCTGGACACTCCTGGTTGGAAGGTAGAATGTTTGCAGGACTAAGAGGCTGCTGTCCGTGTGTGTTTTCCTTGCGGTGCTGAGACTAAGACAGGCAGAGGAGGTGGTCACGGCCCCGTTGATAACACAGCCTCTGCCTGGCTATCAGGTATCTGTTAGGCTGAACTCTATGGTGACGGTGGTAAGTTAATGACCCACTTTGGAACCTTTTGTTCATGGTGGGAAATACCTTAAGCGACGCTTACACCTTTCTCTTACTTGCATTTGAAGAAATTCAGTTGTGACGCAGAATAAAATATGATAGAAAAAGTGCACAGATTCACAGCCTGATTTACACTAAGAGATGAGAAAGGCTTCGAAATCTTATGGGAGTTTAATGATTCTCTTTTCTTTTTCATTGTGTGCTATTGTCCATGTATTACCAGAATTCCAGGCATGAGAGGCGAATTTCCCAAAAATGTGTGAACTGGACCCATTTTTCCTTTCTAAAGCAAGCCGAACCACCCCTTCATCTTTGCCCTTAAAGCTGCTGTTTACCTTCAGCTGGGCTGAAACGTGCAGTGTTTTTACGCAAGCCCGTCCCACGCGTTTGCTTTGGCAGTGTGTTCTCACTTGGTCCAAAGAGCCCAGCCTTCTGTGGTCGCGGTGAGGGGGCAGCCGCCTCGCGCTGAGCCCTGCCGGTGGTTGGGGGCACGCACCTCCTCTGGTCCTGTCCGCGATGTGAGCCTTGGGCTTCCCTGTGACCGTTTCAGAAGCTAAATGTCACCTTGTCGGCCCCGTTGGCGAGAAGGGACCCTACGAGGCTCAAGGGTGGACCTGGAGCGGGGCCTGGGGAAGGCAGGGATGGGAGGGGGGTTCAGGCAGGGGGGCTGGGGCCTGGCACAGAGGCGGACAGCACAGGGAGGTCTGGATGAGGCGATGGCCCAGTGCCACTGGTCACCCTGGGGGTGGGGGATGGCGACCAGGGCGAGATCCGGGGAGACAGCGTCACCAGGGCCCATGTCGAGCTAGGAGAACAGGCACAAGGCTGAGGGTCACAGGAAGTGGTTTCAGAGGCTTGAGCAAGAGCCTGAAGCCAGCCGTCACGGGAAGGACCGCTGTTTTGACTTTGTACCTGTGCGCATGTGCTCGGCTGCCCTAACAATGGGCCACTGACTGGGGCCCCTAAATAGTAGGCATTTACTTCTCACAGTCCTGGAGGCTTGAAGTCCAAGATCAAAGTGTCGGCGGCTTTGGGTTCCCCGAGGCCCCTCTGCTTGGCTTGCAGGCGGCGGCCTTCCCGCCGGGTCTTCACGTGGTCGCCCCTCTGTGTGTGCTCCCCGCTGTCTCTCTTTGTGTGTCCAAATCTCCTCTTCTTATAAGGACACCAGCCAGATTGGATTAGGGCCCCCTCTAAACACCTCATTTTAGTGGAATCACCTCTTTATTATCTCCAAAGGCAACCACATTCTGAGGTCCTAAGGGTTAGGACTCCCGCAGCGGAATCTGGGGGGACACGGTGCGGCCCGTAACAGTGCCCACGTGGAGAGCGTTCTTCTGTGTGTGAGTTGAAGCAGCCTAGCGCTGTCGGGGACTGACATGTTCAGATTTTTTTAACTCCACGATGTATTTGTTATGGCACACTCGTTCTTTAGGCATACCTACGTGACTCCCCCCACGGGTGCAAGGAGAACATATAATATTGCCTCCAGCGTGTGTGCCGGCTGCCTGCCCGTCCCACTCCCCCCGGGCTCCCACCTGAGCCAGACTGGCCTGCGCATGCCTGGAAGTACCCGCATGCTTCCATCCTGGGGGCTTTTCACTTGCCGCTCCTTTTGCTGGAACATTCTACCCAAAATGTCCGTACAGCTCACTGCCTCATTCCTGCAGGTGTCTGCGCCCCTTTTCTGCGCCGGTCATGTAGGGCAGTGTCCTTCCCCATCCTCCCCCTGCAGACTGTCCAGACCTGTCCCCACCAGAAGGTGCATTCTGGGACAGCGGGGACTTTATGTGTGTCCTCTGCTGTTTTCGTCCACCTCGGATACGCAGTGTGTGCTCGACGGTGCATGAATGATTCCTGGCCTGCTCACCTCTGGCTCCTGAGACGTGTTCTTGTTTAGAGATCTTCATTTTCTTGGGAGTTCCCTGGTGGTCTAGTGCCTTTCACTGCAGGGGTCTGGGTTTAATCCCTGCTCGGGAAACTGAGATCCCGCAAGCTGCTCGGCCAAAATAAAAGAAAAATAATAAAGATTTCCATTTTCTTAATGAGCTTGTCAGGAGTCAAGCGGAGGTAAGGTGGCCAACAACGTTACTTTTTAGATTGTGAGTTCAGGAGTGTCTCTTCTGATAAATGAGGTTTTTGTTCAAGGAAAACCAGTGTTCTGCTATGTCCACTTCACCCATGACTTCTCTCTCCTCCCAGGAACGTGGAGCCCGGCAGTGGGACCAGCTTCATCCGGTCGAGATGGTGGACACAGAGAGCCCGATCGGTCCCCTCTCCCCCCTCGAGGCTGATGATCTGGAAAGCCCACTCTCTGAAGAATTCCTACAAGAAATGGGAACCATTCAAGATATTTCTCAGTCCATTGGTGAGGACAGTTCTGGAAGCTTTAGTTTTACAGAATACCAGTATTTAGGAAGTGGTCCAGGATCAGATGGCTCCGTTATTACAGGTAAGTGTGCTACTTCCTAGAAAGCTTTATCTGGAAACGTTTTTTTCCACAGAGAAAGTTGTTCTCTTTACCTGGAGAAGACACATCTCTCTGCATTAAAATCTTCAGATGCGTAAAGGCATGACACGCAGTGCCACTGGGCCTTGAAACTTTCCAGGCGTGTCTTGCATATCATAGTATGCCTTCTTTTTTTGTTTTTTTTTTGGATAAACTTTTTATTGAAGTATAATATACACATAAGAGTGCACACACCATAAGTGTGTAGCTCATTTGATTTTTCACCTGAAAATATCATTTTTACACTACGGAGTAATCTCTTGCATGTAACTTACCTGAGCAGCCTGTGTGTAATTTTTCACCGTGATGAGCAGCTCTGTGACACACCTCCCTGTGGGCAAATCTTTGAGTGCATCCTGGGTGACTGATTTTCTTTTTTAATTTTAATCTTTTGTCCCAGTTGGTTATTTATGTTAAATACAGTTACCTGGCAGGGACGGATAGTTAGGGAGTTTGGGATTGACATGTACACACTTCTATATTAAAAATAAATAACCGGCTTCCCTGGTGGCGCAGTGGTTGAGAGTCTGCCTGCCGATGCAGGGCACACGGGATCGTGCCCCGGTCCGGGAGGATGCCACATGCCGCGGAGCGGCTGGGCCCGTGAGCCATGGCCGCTGAGCCTGTGCGTCCGGAGCCTGTGCTCCGCAACGGGAGAGGCCACAACAGTGAGAGGCCCGCGTACTGCAAAAAAATAAAAAAATAATAAAATAAAATAAATAACCAACAAGTATGCCTTCTTTTTAAAAGCTGTACATAAACCACATAATGCTTGAAATTCAGCAGTCAGCTGCATTTTTTAAATGCTGTGAGTTTATATTTCTTTAAAGCAGAGACTCCTACTGTAATAAAAATCACTCTCTTTTATCTGGAAATGTATCTGAACCATCTCTCTACTCCCTTGTAAGCTTTTATATACAGAATGGATGCACAGCAAGGTCCTACTGTATAGCACAGAGAACTATATTCAATATCCTATGATAAATCATAATGGAAAAGAATATTTAAAAAAGGAATGTATGTATATGTATAACTGAATCACTTTGCTGTACAGCAGAAACTAACACAACATCGTAAATCAACTCTACTTCAATAAAAAAATAGTAAAACCAAAAAAATAAGTTTCAAGATGGTGACAGTAGGAAAAAAAAACTACATCAGGCATCAGCCAGTGCAGATACAAAGAAATAAAACACGGGGTCTGCTCAGGTCACCTTGCTGTGAAAGAGGAAATCATTGCACAGTTAATCTTTCTGAGCAACGTTTAAGCCACGCTGGTATAATGTGGTGTAAATTGTACCTTGATTTAAAGGAAGCCCTGTCTGGGGTGGACTTGACTCCACTGTACTTCTTGGCAGAAGTGGGTTTTGGATCAGACAAACTAGACTTTATTTTTAAATTTTTCAAAAATTTATTTTTATTTATTTATTTTTGGCTGTGTTGGGTCTTCGTTGCTGTGTGCCGGCTTTCTCTAGTTGCGGCGAGCGGGGGCTACTCTTCCTTGCGGTGTGCGGGCTTCTCATTTCGGTGGCTTCTCTTGTTGCGGAGCATGGGCTCTAGGTGCACGGGCTTCAGTAGCTGTGGCGCGCGGGCTCAGTAGTTGTGGCTCGCGGGCTCTAGAGTGCAGGCTTACTAGTTGTGGTGCACAGGCTTAGTTGCTCTGCGGCACGTGGGATCTTCCCGGAACAGGGCTCGAACCCGTGTCCCCTGCCATGGCAGGCAGACTCCCAACCACTGTGCCACCAGAGAAGCCCCAAAATAGACTTTAAAATAAAGACTTTTACAGGAGACAAGGAAGGACGCTACATAATGATCAAGGGAACAATCCAAGAAGAAGAAGATACAACAATTATAAATATACATGCACCCAGCGTAGGAGCACCTACGCTCCTATATGAGGTAGATGCGAACAGCCATAAAAGGGGAAATCGACTGTAACACAGTAATAGTGGAGGACTTGAACACCCCACTTACACCAATGGACAGACCTTCCAGACAGAAAATTAATAAGGAAGCACAGGCCTTCAAGAAGTGGGTCTTAAATGTAAGGCCAGAAACTCTTAGAGGAAAACATAGGCAGAACACTCTATGACATAAATCACAGCAAGATCCTTTCTGACCCACCTCCTAGAGTAATGGAAATAAAAACAAAAATAAACAAATGGGACCTAATGAAACTTCAAAGCTTTTGCACAGCAAAGGAAACCATAAACAAGACCAAAAGACAACCCTCAGAATGGGAGAAAATATTTGCAAATGAAGCAACTGACAAAGGATTAATCTCCAGAATTTACAAGCAGCTCATGCAGCTCAATAACAAAAAAACAAACAACCCAATCCAAAAACGGGCAGAAGACCTAAATAGACATTTCTCCAAAGAAGATACACAGACAGCCAACAAACACATGAAAGAATGCTCAACATCATTAATCATTAGAGAAATGCAAGTCAAAACTACAATGAGATATCATCTCACACCAGTCAGAATGGCCATCATCAAAAAATCTAGAAACAATAAATGCTGGAGAGGGTGTGGAGAAAAGGGAACCCTCTTGCACTGTTAGTGGGAATGTAAATTGATACAGCCACTATGGAGAACAGTATGGAGTTTCCTTAAAAAACTAAAAATAAAACTACCATACAACCCAGCAATATCACTACTGGGCATATACCCTGAGAAAACCAAAATTCAAAAAGAGTCATGTACCAAAATGTTCATTGCAGCTCTATTTACAATAGCCCGGAGATGGAAACAACCTAAGTGCCCATCATCGGATGAATGGATAAAGAAGATGTGACACATATATACAATGGAGAATATTACTCAGCCATAAAAAGAAACGAAATTGAGCTATTTGTAATGAGATGGATAGACCTAGAGTCTGTCATACAGAGTGAAGTAAGTCAGAAAGAAAAAGACAAATACCGTATGCTAACACATATATATGGAATTTAAGAAAAAAAAATGTCATGAAGAACCTAGGGGTAAGACAGGAATAAAGACACAGACCTACTGGAGAACGGACTTGAGGTTATTGGGAGGGGGAAGGGTGAGCTGTGACAGGGCGAGAGAGAGCCATGGACATATACACACTAACAAACGTAGTAAGGTAGAGAGCTAGTGGGAAGCAGCCGCATTGCACAGGGATATTGGCTCGGTGCTTTGTGACCGCCTGGAGGGGTGGGATAGGGAGGGTGGGAGGGAGGGAGACGCAAGAGGGAAGACATACAGGAACATGTGTATATGTATAACTGATTCACTTTGTTATAAAGCGGAAACTAACACACCATTGTAAAGCAATTATACCCCAATAAAGATGTTAAAAAAAAAGAAGTGGGTCTTGGCTGGGACTGGAGGAGTTGGGTTTGGACTGGCCAGGAGGTGTGTGTGTGTGGTTTTGAGCTCCGAGCTCGGACTGTGCAGGCTTTCTTGGGGAATCGAGAAGGTTCTCCCTGCAGCGTCTGATATAAGGTCTCTGTGTTCTTCCCCCGCCGTGGGCCCCCTTGTGTCACGATCTCGGTCTGGAGCATGTTTCCCCGACCGTCTGTTCACGTCTTCCCACTCCAGGAAGATGATTTTCACGACTGTGCACTGACCTTGGTGACGGTGGGAAAGGGAGCATTTGTACTCCGCTGGCAGCCAAGTTCACTGATAAACCCATGTGCGTGGAGAGAGTGGCTGAAAGTGCATGAGCCCTAAATCCAGCAAGCCCACTGGGGACGGGCGCTGTTTAAAAAGGGACCTGTACGTGGGTCTGCACTGTGCCGTTGTTTGTGATGGGGTCTGCACTATGGCAAAAAGAAAAAAAAAAGGGAACTTACAAAAAGTGACCGCACTGAAGTGTACTAGACACACATCCTTGACTTTTGGCCCCTGGCCGTTAAGGTGGTGGGTGTGAGGTCATCCATTTTTACTTCGCTTCGGTTCTCCTTACTGTGTTTATTAATCCTTTTGGCCGTTTGGAGTCATCTCAAAATTCTTAAAATCTTGCTTTGTCTCCTTTCCAGGCTTTTCACTGTTATTGTTTCCAACTGATTTGAGAGATAAAATGATTGCTTATTTGTAAACTAGATTTTTCATCTTTGTATGTAATGGCTCCCTTGGGTGACATTTTTAAGTTATGTAAATTGCAAATATGGGAGGACCGGCTATAAAACGCATTCAGTTTAAACTTGACTCCTTGGGAGACCAGATGGGTGAGGCTGCCTACTCAGCCCATCTATCTTTCTCACCCCACCCCCCAATTTTTCTTAGCAGCTTTGCTGACATAAAAACTTCACATATTCAAAGTGTGCAATTGGATGTACACACACGCACGCATGCACACGCACAGACTTGTGAAACCAACAGCACAATCAAATTCCACACCCCTCACCCCAAAGTTTACGTGTGCCCTTTTGTAATCCCTCTTCCCCACCCTCATGCCTCTCTCCCTCCCCAGGTACCACTGATCTGCTGCTCTCTATCATTATCCATCCGTTTGTATTTCCTAGAATTGTATATAAATGGAATCATATAGTATGTCCTCTTTTTAGTCTGACTCCTTTCACTCAGCAAAATTATTTTGAGATTCATCTGCATTGGTAGCATCTACCGAGAGTTCATTTTCTAAAATCCACTGTATGGATTTGCCACAGGTTATCCACGCGATTGACGAACATGCGATTGTTTCCGGGTCTGGCTGTTACAGAGAAAGCTGCCGGGAAAGCTCGTGTACGCACCTCTGTGTGGACAGTGCTTTCACTTCTCGCGGGTGGACAGGAGGGGAACGGGTCATGCTTTTCTGCCTCTTCGCATGTTTTACAATTTGTTATCAGATACCATCCATTGTGAGCTTTGTTGATGATGGAGAATTTTGTATTCACACAACTATTCTTGAGTTTTATTCTGAAATGCAGTTAAGTTACGTGGAAAATGTTGAGCCTTTCAGGTCCTGTGGTTAAGCTTTGTTAGACGGAACCAGAGCAGTGTTGATTCTAGAAGTAATTCTGCCCCAATTCAGAGGCAAAACCCTTTTGAGTATTTTAGCCAGTGCCCCAAGGATTCTGAGATTTTTCCGCCGTGAGTGGTGGTCACGGGACTGCCTCTTAGCCCTCAGTACACTGTTCCCTCTAAGCATTTCAGGTTGCTATTGGAATATCTTTTTTCTTTTTTTCTTTTTGGTCGCACCAAGCGGCGTGTGGGATCTTAGTTCCCCGACCAGGGATTGAACCCGTGCCCTCGGCGGTGAAAGTGCGGAGTCCTAACCGCTGGACCGCAGGGGAATTCCCTGGAGTATCTTTTCTTTTAGGCTCTCTCAGCTGATAGAGCAGAGACATACATGTGTACATACTGACGCATGTATGTACACGTCTGTATTTCTGTGTATAGCTGTCTGTCTCAAGGTCAGGGTAAACGTGGGTTCAGACAGACGTCTGCACCTCTAATCCACCACCACATGGACCACTTCAGCCTCCTCCTGTCGCTTTATCAACGAGCTCACACTCCAACAGTGAGAGACCTGGCCCAGCCATCCATTCAGCCACCATCATTAAATGAACAATTAGTTGTTCATTTCCAGTGCGGTGGCATCAGGACTGCTCACGCAAAGCCCTGTGGGAAACAACTTTGTCGGCTGGGGACAGCGTCCAGGGGCAGCTTTTGCCTTTGGTCTCACAGACTCCATTCGTTTCAAGGTCACTTACACGAATATCTTCAGCGAGGTTTCCTACGAATGTTTCTTACATTTGTGATATAGATTGTATCATCACATTCTGTATGCCATCCTGGAATCTCTGGACCTCTTCAGTTTTTTTTTTTTTTTTTTTTTTTTGGTTCATTTGCACACATTTAAAGTTCACTCTGTACCGTAAACTTCTGTGGATTTTGACAAGTGCATTGTGTCCTGTATTCACCATGACATTTTCATGTGAATAATTTCACCATGTCCAAGAAGCCACTGGGTTTCACCTACTCAACCCTGCCTCCCCGACCCCTACTCCAACCGCTGATTTTTTTTTTACCACTGCTCTATTTCTGCCTTTCCACAAATGTCGGATATTAAGAATCGTATAGTTTGTAGCCTTTGGGGATTGGCCTCACCTATTGAAGCATCTTGGTTGCTTCTGATTTTTGGCAATTAAGAATAATGCTGCTGGGGAATTCCCCCAGCGGTCCAGTGGTTAGGACTCTGTGCTTTCACTGCCGAGGACCTGGGTTCAATCCCTGGTCGGGGAACTAAGATCTCACAGGCCACATGCCACAGCCAAAAAAAAGAGTAAGGCTGCTAAAGCACTATTTACAATAGCCAGGACATGGAAGCAACCTAAATTTCCATTGACGAGGAACGGATAAAGAAGACAATGGAATATTACTCGGTCATTAAAAAGAATGAAATAATGCCATTTGCAGCAACATAGATGGACCTAGAGATTATCACACTAAGTGATATAAGTCAGAGAAAGACAAGTATCGTATGATATCACTTATATGTAGAATCTAAAATACGACACAGGGCTTCCCTGGTGGCGCAGTGGTTGAGAGTCCGCCTGCCGATGCAGGGGACGCGGGTTCTTGCCCCGGTCCAGGAAGATCCCACATGCCGTGGAGCTGCTGGGCCCGTGAGCCATGGCCGCTGAGCCTGCGCGTCCGGAGCCTGTGCTCGGCAACGGGAGAGGCCACAACAGTGAGGGGCCCGCGTACCGCAAAAAAAAAAGAAAGTCCAGCTTCTTTTTTTTTCTTTCATGGATTGTGCTTTTGTGTTGCCCACACGGATTTTTATTCTATATTCTGATGCCATTTACTGAGTTAACAATTACAAAAGGGCTGGAAGCGAGGACGCAAAGAAAGCAATGAATTCTGTGTAGGACACGTCGATTTTGGGCAACTAAGGATAATAAAGCCGCCGCAAGGACCTCTGCTAAGTCCTGAATGGCGGGTTTTTCCTCCAGTTCCGGGGCTTGTCACTATACTTGTAGCGTACAGTTACACCACCCCCTAGATTGTCTAATTGTCGACTATATTGTGCAGTGTTCAATACATTGCACCCTTAAAGCTGTCTGTCCATTTTATCTTTGTGTCAAAAATCTGAGCATGTCGCAGGAGCAACTAAGCCCGTGAGTCACAACTACTGAGCCCACGTACTGCAACTACCAAAGCCCACGTGCCTAGAGCCCGTGCTCCGCAACAAGAGAAGCCACCGCCATGAGAAGCCCGCACACCGCAACGAAGAGTAGCCCCCGCTCGCCGCAACTAGAGAAAGCCTGCGCGCAGCAACAAGACCCAACGCGGCCAAAAATAAATAAATAAATTTATTTAAAAAAAAAAATCTGAGCATGTGGCTAGCATATACTTGAGCTCATTGTTGGTGACATTTAAATGTTAATAAAATAGTATCCCCCGCCTCCGCCCAAAAAAGAAAGGAATAAAGCTGCTGTAACCGTTTGTGTGAACAAGGCTACTTGCAAAGTGGCCTTTTCTGCAGGGCCATGGTTTAGTCCATTTTGTTTTGTTTTTTATGGATTAAAAAGTAAAGTTGTTTCTCAGTTGGGGAGCCCCTTGGGTGGGTGCTGCGGGGATGCCGGCGACGTGGTCACTGTGGGAGCACAGAGGGTGTGCAAGGGCCAGGCCAGGGTGGATGCAGCATGGGAGCCCTGCCCACCAGCTGATGCCTCCCCACTAAATGCCTCACACGTGAACTCAGGTCCTCAGAAAGCGGGTTTCGACATCGGATGGCGAGGCTGTGAATATTCGTAAATCTTCCCCTTGTGTTCCTAGACACCCTCTCACCAGCCTCGAGTCCCTCGTCCATCTCTTACCCTGTGGTTCCTGGCAGCGCCGAGGAATCGTCCAGTGTAGCACTGAACATCGAGTGTAGAATCTGTGGGGACAAAGCCTCGGGCTACCATTACGGAGTTCACGCATGTGAAGGCTGCAAGGTACGGTGGACCCTGGATGGGGAGAAAGGTGGCCTTTCGGGGACTACGTGTGGTTCCTTTTATTTTATACACAAATGTTTGTCACTACTAAGAAAGGTCTGCTCAAGTTGTAGATCAGAAACTGACCCACGTAACACATTCCTTTCTCTCTTTGGAAAGTCTATGGCATATTGCTGGGCTGTTCTTTGTAAGTGACGTAGAGGGTGTGTTCTTTAACAGAAAATAAACCACATTAAAGATGCTCCCTTCATTTGGATGCGAGGTCAGAGAGTTTTGTCCACTTTCTCTCTCCACCCTCATCAGAAGGTCACGGAGGGCAAGGGTTCTCACGACCGTCAGAGATGTCAGGATCCTGCAGCACGTGCTGGGCGACGACCAGCCCCGCGGCTGTGTCCTCCCCGGCTGCTCAGGATCCCCCAGCAGCCCCTTCCTGCACGCCGGGGGCCTGTCCACCCGAACCACGAGCACCCTCGTGTATATCCTTATTCTTGTGCCAGCTCAGCTGGACCTCTAACCAGAGGTGACCCAGAGCCCGCGGTGCAGGGGGTCAGGCCGTGTCCTCCAGCAGAACTACGGAAGGATGACCGGAAAGCAAAGAGGAAAGAGCCCAGTGTAAATATAAACCTTCACAATTTGCCAGCCACATACCTTGAAAAAAACTACTTGCAAAGTGGCCTTTTCTGCAGGGCCATGGTTAGTCACCTTGGTTTCCTTTTGTTTTTTTATGAACTAAATAGTAAAGTTGGTTCTTTACTAAAGTAAAGTTTAAGGTATTTTTATTTGTTTTTGTTTTTGTTTTGTTTTGGTTGTGCCTTAGCACACGGCACACGTGATCTTAGTTCCCCCACCAGGGACGGAACCCATGCCCCTTCAGTGGAAGCGCTAAGTCCTAACCACTGGACTGCCAGAGAAGTCCCTAAGACACTTTTATAAAGAGAAAATTATTTACAACCAGCTGGCTTCCTTTTATTATATAATCTTTGTCCTTTAGAGAGTTAATATTCTCTTACAAAAATTCTTAGAACTTTTTAGTCACAAATATGGATCTGTCCTCAGAAGAGAAAGTCACATTTGTATAAATCTTAGCAAGGCAGAGTCACTCTTCAGGAGACTGTGATTGTGTCTTCCCAGGCCAGGTGAGGACGTGTTGAAATTACTTTGACTTTGGCCTCATTTTATTGTTTTTCATTTTACATGTAATGAAATTTCCAATTTCCAATTTGCCCCAATTACATCAGACTTTCTAGATAAACTGTTTCTCTACATTTCGTTCATTTAAAAAAAGACAATAGGGGCCTCCCTGGTGGCGCAGCGGTTGAGAGTCCGCCTGCCGATGCAGGGGACACGGGTTCGTGCCCTGGTCCGGGAAGAACCCACATGCCGCGGAGCGGCTGGGCCCGTGAGCCATGGCCGCTGAGCCTGCGTGTCCGGAACCTGTGCTCCGCAACGGGAGAGGCCGCAGCAGTGAGAGGCCCGCGTACCGCAAAAAAAAAAAAAAAAAAAAAAAGACAATAAATGAGCAACAGGAAACGTGAATAAAGGAATGACACTGATTCCTCAGTGGCCCATATTCTTTAATAAACTGTACCTCAATCCGCAGGGTTTCTTTCGGAGAACTATTCGGCTAAAGCTGGCATATGACACATGTGACCGTAGCTGCAAGATTCAGAAAAAGAACCGGAATAAGTGCCAGTATTGTCGTTTTCACAAGTGCCTTTCAGTTGGGATGTCCCATAATGGTAGGTAAGGTTGTCTATCGCATTTTCCCCACCCATGCCTCAGTTTACCCCCCTTATCGGGTCGGAACAGACTGTATTTTGAATGAATGTGCTGCAGCATTTAATGCTCGGGTCATTTTGTAACATGATAGCCTAAGAAAAATAAGCCTCGAATAACAGAGATCCAGTAGAACCCTTGGAAATACTGTTAGAAACTTCAGATGGTGCAACTTTGATACAAGATTTTGAAACCCATTGGAGACCACTGGGATGTCTTGATGTTCATGTCATATGTATGAAGCATGTGCCATTGCAAACATGTGACCATGTTATGAATTTAATTATATTCAATCCTACTCCTATTATTTTTTTTTGTTTTGGCCGTGCTGCTCGGCTCTCGGGATCTTAGTTCCCCGACCAGGGATTGAACCTGGGTCCCCCGCAGTGGAAGCTCGGAGTCCTAACCACTGGACCACCAGGGCAGTCCCCATACTCTTATTTTAGAATCTGCCAATTACTACAGGAAAGTGAATTTCAAATAATGTGTTCGTAAGAGTTGCATGTCTACCTTCTGGTAAAAGGAAAAGGTACTATGTTAACTTCTAAGGCTCACTTCCATCTCCTTAACCGAAAGGCTCAATTATGTACCTAACGACATGAAGTGACCTTAAGCCCATCCTACTGATAAAGTGAGTCATGGTGCCACCTTTAATTTCAAGCTTTTTAAAAAGTCCAGGATATATGGGGTTTGACGTTTATTTTCATCTCTCCAAGGGAGAAAGCTGAATAGTGCTGAGAAGTGGATGGTAACTTACCCATGCATGTTTGCTCACAGTCTAACCCGTGGTGTGAACCTTTCGTCCAGCCATTAGTCCTCGTGCCCTGTTTTGTTGTTCATTTCTCTGTGTTTTCCGTTCTTCCGTTTCTCCTCTCCGACCCCCAGCGATTCGTTTTGGACGAATGCCAAGATCGGAAAAAGCAAAATTGAAAGCAGAAATCCTTACATGTGAACATGACCTAGAAAAAAATTCTGAAACCGCAGATCTCAAATCTCTCGCTAAGAGGATTTACGAGGCCTATTTGAAGAACTTCAACATGAACAAGGTTAAGGCCCGGGTCATCCTCGCGGGAAAGGCCAGCAACAATCCGGTAGGTGGCTTTGCCGCTGGTTATTATCGTCTGAAGTGCTTCTTGGGCAACACGTCAGCTAGAGTCGAGGAGGAGGACTGAGGAAGTATGTCCTAAATGCTGAGAAAATCATATTTATCCCCAGCGCAAATGGGAGACAATGCAATGGAAACATTTCCTTCAGAGACTATAAAACGTAGCCCAGCAGCAACTCCCGTCCCATTTGATCCACCTCAGAGCTCCTAGCAACCAAGTTCTTCTAATGACTCTGTAATTAATGCACTCAGAAAGTCTGGTTAATAGTTTACCAGATTCTAGGGTTGCTTCTTAAGTGATTTTGTTTTAATCCCTATTTTAATGCCAGAAAATGAAACTATTCACTTCCCACTCAAAGTGTGCTCTCACATCCTTTCCCCTAAAACTACCTTCTCCTCTCCGACCTCCCCCTTCCTACCCCCTGCCCACCTTCTTTTTCTCCAATGAGAAGGAAATGACATCTCGGGGCTTAGAAAGGGTCCTTTGTTTACAGAAACGTTATTGTCTTTTGGGACAGTTCTGGACCTTCTCGGTAGCAACTAAGATTGCCCCTTGTGGACGCCTACACTTCGCCTCTCCTGCCTGATTCCACCCTGTACCCACCCCACAGTTAGCTAAGCCTCTGTCTCCATTACAGGCCTAATCTCAGAGCTACCTTCAAAGAGGGGGATGGCCCAAGGTTGGCGAATGAAGACGTTTTGCCTTTCTCCTATGAGAGTGGTGAAACAGGTTTCATTTGTCCTAATGAGTAGCTTGAAGCCATCTTTTTTGGGAATTACAAGCTGGAATTTTCAGTCACAGGAAGATAAAGCATCTCACAAGCTACTTACCTTCATGAACAAACCAAACCTCTTTTTTACCGAGTCTTTTCATTCTTGGGTGAATTTTCCAATTCAATAGGCTGAGGTAATTTAGGAGGGTTCAGGCAAACCGTTGTTAAATCATAAAGCCACACCCGTGCTGGGCGGCCCCAGAGGCTCGAAGAAACTCCACCCTAACCCTTTCCAGATCACAAGGGTAAAAGCAAAGTAATCTTTTACCTTTGAATTTCTATCCTGGAAATGATTCGTGTAGCCCCAAATTAAAGCAACCCCAATTTCTGCTCTCTTGGAATCCTTTTAGATCTTGCTGAGTTCTTCTCCATCTCCCTTGGGTTTTCAGAATGCAAAGCAAAGCAAACTTAAAAGTCATCTTGACTCGGAACCAAACAGTCTTGTTTAGTATTAACTCGATTTCCATGGAGTATCCTTCTCACACCCCACTGAGATCCACGCACTCTAAGCAGGAGCCCATCACCCGCGGCCAGAGTTGAAATCTGGACCGTTGAGGGCCATCACACAGTTACTCTGGGAGAGGAATCTGGCTTTTGGTCTTAAGGAAATAAATGATAGACCCATAGTCCAGCACTGGGCGTCACTGAAGAGGAAAAACAGAATTCGGGGTATTGCTGAGAGTCAATTGCTTGCTTCTGCCCACCTCCGAAGCAGAGCATCGCGGGTACCAGTTTGAAAGGGAGTGTCCAGGGCCAGCCACTGCCTTTGACGGCACTGTTTGCTCCTGGGTTCACTTCCCACCCCATTTCCTCTGTATGTTGAAGCATGGCCCTCCTCCCACCTCCCCGCCCAGCCTAGTGCACCCCAGAGCTTGGAGCATCCAGCTTGGGGCCACAGTCTCTGCTCCATCTGTGCTGGGTCAGAGACAGAGCTGCCGGGAGGGGCGGCATCCTGGAATGGCGGCCCCCTCACACCACACCGTGGGGTTTGGCCTGCTGTGTTATATTGAAATATTATACCTATAACTTGTCAGGAGCTTGAAAAACGTACTATTTTGTACTATATCTAGAAGTGTGTAGTAAAACCCACCCAAGAGCTTATTAGATCACTTCATCCAAAGCAATTCTACCAATAAGTCACAATTAAATTTCTCCGAAAAGATGCTGCTGCCGAACTTTTCATAGGAAATGCTGTTTCGATGTGTTTTGGAGATGAATTCTTATAACATCATTAACGCACACAGAACAGTGTCAGGCGTGAGCGAGGGAAATACCTATCAGTTAGGGGAGACTTCTGGTCCTGGCATGGAGTGGTTTTGGGGGCAAGTGGGCATCTTTCTGCCTTGTGCCGTTTAAAAGCTTTACAGTGTGCTTCACCGATTTGAAATGACCACCCGTAACATCAGATATATTCATAGTCAAGCTTGAGCATAAAGAAAATATTCCAAAGTTAAATATAAGCTTCTGGATTTTTAAAATAGTCTAATCAAGAATGTTTCTCAATAAAGTCTGGCAAACTTTCAAGGGTGTCACTCTATAATATCTCTTTGGCTGTGATAAACATGATTTTTCAAATGTTAGCACTTGTTTTGAATTCAGATCGTTTCTAATTTTGCCTGTTCATGAGGCCTGCCTTTTAAAATCCAGGCGATAATTTTATACACATGAAATGAAATATTTCTTACCATTGAAGTCTCCGTTTATGAGAGAATGTTCCACATAAAAATAGTCCAGGGCCAGCGTCCTGGGCGTGTGTCCAGCTTCACAACGCCCCTGCTTAGAGGGCCTCGTGCTGACGTTTAGTGCTCTGTCGCTGTCTTGAAATTCGTAAGCACTTTCGAATAAGGGACCCCACATTGTCATTTTGCACTGGGCCCTGCAAATTGTGTAGCCAGTCTGTGCTAGTCCAAGAGATGTCCTACCAAATAACAACAACAGTATAATAATAATAAGCGTTCTGCAGTCAAACACTGGGAACCACTATTTATGCCAATCCCATTCTTAAAGGTCCACGGTGTACACTCACGTGAAAGACTCTGGTAGACTCTAACTTTATCTAACTCAGTGTTTCTCAAGGGTTTTTTTTGACAACAGGATTCTTTTTTTTTTTTTTTTTTTTAACACCTTTATTTCTGCTGAATGTACTTTTGAAAAGCCAGTGATTTGAATAAAGTCAAGGTGGCCTTATAATATTTTCTGAAATTGAGGGAGTACTGCCACCTGTCCTTTAAAAACATTTTTCTGGGGCTTCCCTGGTGGCGCAGTGGTTGAGAGTCCGCCTGCCGATCAGGGGACGCGGGTTCGTGTCCTGGTCCGGGAAGATCCCACATGCTGCGGAGCGGCTGGGCCTGTGAGCCATGGCCGCTGAGCCTGTGCGTCCAGAGCCTATACTCCGCAACGGGAAAGGCCACAACAGTGAGAGGCCCACGTACTGCAAAAAAAAAAAAAAAAAAAAAAAAAAAAAAAAAAAAAACATTTTTCTGGTCCATCCTGTAAACGTTAATACTTTAAATCCGAGCTCCAACTTCCTGTGAAGCAGAACTGCCCCCAGACTTTCTCAAAACAGTGGTAAATCTGGCCTGCTTTTAATTTATTTATTTATTTTTGGCTGTGTTGGGTCTTCGTTGCTGCGCGCAGGCTTTCTCTAGTTGCGGCGAGCGGGGGCTACTCTTCGTTGCGGTGCACGGGCTTCTCATTGTGGTGGCTTCTCTTGTTGCAGAGCACGGGCTCTAGGCGCGTGGGCTTCAGTAGTTGTGGCATGTAGGCTCAGTAGTTGTGGCTTGTGGGCTCTAGAGCGCAGGCTCAGCAGTTGTGGCGCACGGGCTTAGTTGTTCTGCAGCATGTGGGATCTTCTTAGACCAGGGCTTGAACCCATGTCCCCTGCATTGGCAGGTGGGTTCTTAACCACTGGGCCACCGGGAAGTTCTGGCCTGCTTTTAAAGTCTTTGGAGAGAGACAGTTTTACTCTTCCTTCATCAAACTTGAGATCGTTAGAAATTGGGCTTTGAGTTCTGTATTCAGAATGTTTTCAGTCATTCACAGATAATTTTAAAAATATTCCCTTTCCTCAGATGTGAAATCAGATCTTTTTTTTTTTTGTCCAACACTATCTTGCAAATTCTAATTCTGTTTAAACATTTCGTAGGCAATGCATCACATTATCCCAACACACCCACCTCTGTACCAGGTATACCCAGCAGGTTCCCAGAAGATGGCTTTGTGCTGATTCCTCCTGATGCTCTTGTGAGCCCAGAAATAGGGCACACGTCGTGCCATGGGCACAGAGGCACTGTCAGTGATGTGTTTTGCCCACTGGCAGAGTGATTCTTAAAATCACTGGGCTTCTTATACACTCAGTGTTTATCCAGTGGGGATCGAAAATAATGCCTCAGCCCACTTCATTATTGGTCTGTAGAACACATTAAGGCTCAGAGAGATCCCTCAGAGCCTGCCATTTATTCCGCTCCGCACACAGAGCTGGCACAAAGTTTGGCCAGCAGCGGTATCTGTGCCCATTCTTCTAAGCCCCGCCAGATACATCATCGCTTCTGAGCACGTTGGCTTCAAATAACATGGCCAACCATCTCTTCCTTCCTCTGCTAGATCTTTATAAAATGGCAGGAACGGTGGGTTTAGATGCAAATGGGAAGGCCACATTTAGGGAGCTGCCATGGGGATTCGGTATTTGTCTCAGAACATGGAGCAGTGGTGGGAAGATTTCAGTCTCCTGTACCGGGAAACGAGGGTCCTTCAAGGCTTTCCAGTTTACCCCCCAAGAGCAAGGGTTTAACGATGCTCGTTTGTTTACTTCCACACAAATGCCAACGTTCTGACTTGTATTTACTTACATGCCAAATTTATTCATTCAACAGTCAGCGTCGGATAATGATGATTATCTGCGAAGTTCATAAAATGGCAAAATTAAGAATTATTGTAATTACTGGCTATTGCAGTAGTATTTGGGAATTTAGAGGACATTATAAAATATTTAAAGTGCTTTGCTAATATTCTCTTTCTTGTTAGCTTTATTGCCAAAATCAGTACTTCACTTTTTTTTTTTTTTTGGCCATGCTACACGGCATATGGGATCTTAGTTCCCCGACCAGGGATCAAACCTGTGCCCCCTACAGTGGAAGCATGGAGTCCTAACCACTGGACAGCCAGGGAATTCCCAGAACTTCACTTTCTTAGCAATGAAATCCCCACCCAGTTTTAGGCGCCGATGATTATTCTCTTACTGATTTATATTGTCCTCTATTAAATGTCTTCTTGTCCCCAACTAATTTTGAGGTTGTTTAAGGATGAGGACTGTGTTTTGTACATAATTTGATTCTCGACAGGTGGCTGGAATACTGCAGCTACTCATCATTTTCTTGATAATTAAGCAGACAGCTTGTCGCCAATCACCCGACTTATTCCGGTGTTTTTCTTTTCAGCCTTTTGTCATACACGACATGGAGACGTTATGTATGGCCGAGAAGACTCTCGTGGCCAAGTTGGTGGCCAACGGCATCCAGAACAAGGAGGCAGAGGTCCGCATCTTCCACTGCTGCCAGTGCACGTCTGTGGAGACGGTCACGGAGCTCACGGAATTCGCCAAGTCCATCCCGGGGTTCGCAAACTTGGACTTGAACGACCAAGTCACTTTGCTGAAATACGGAGTTTACGAGGCCATATTTGCAATGCTGTCTTCTGTGATGAATAAAGACGGGATGCTGGTAGCATATGGAAATGGTTTTATAACTCGTGAATTTCTAAAAAGCCTAAGAAAACCATTTTGTGATATCATGGAGCCCAAGTTCGATTTTGCAATGAAGTTTAATGCACTGGAGCTGGACGACAGTGATATTTCCCTTTTTGTGGCTGCTATAATTTGCTGTGGAGGTAAGTTATTGACTTCACCTGCTGGTGCTGTGGCAATCACAGCCTCCCACCTAGGGAATCTGGCGGTGGTAAATCCGACGTGAGTAGGGTGGAGCCAGCACTGTAGGGGAGGAGGGTGTCCGAGCCCCACATTGCCACTAACCAGAATTCAGTGAGAATGATATCAATATCATATCATACTATAGCATATGTTATTGTTTTCTGTTTCAGAGCTTTTATTTTTTAAAATTTTTATTTTATATTGGAGTATAGTTGATTTACAACGTTGTGTTAGTTTCAGGTGTATAGTGAAGTGATTCAGCTATACATATACGTATATCTATTCTTTTTCAGATTCTTTTCCCATTTAGGTTTTTACAGAATACTGAGTAGAGTTCCTTGTGCTATACAGCAGGTCCGTGTTGATTATCTACTTTATATATAGCAGTGTGTATATGTTAATCCCAAACTTCATGTTATTATATATAAACACATTTGTAAAGTATAAATGTTCTATCTGTAATTACATGAATATATATTTATTTAGAATATAATGGAAGATTAGGTATCATTAATAATTATAATGTAATTATATCTAGTATATCTAATATCTATTATATATCAGATATAATTGTAATAATATTATAATGTATGGTGTATAATATCATCATATACAGTTGGCCCTCCACATCTGTGGGTTCTGCATTTGCAGATTCAACCAACTGCGGATTGAAAACATTCAGAAAAAAACACTTCCAGAAAATTCCAAAAACGAAACTTGAATTTACCACACACCGGCAACCATTTACGTGGCATTTACATTGTGTTAGGTATTACAAGTAATCTAGAGATCACTAAAGTGCACGGGAGAATGTGCGTAGGTTATATGCCATTTTATATACGGGACTTGAGCGTCCGTGGATTTTGGCGTCTTGGGGGGGTCCTGCAACCAATCCCCCCCAGATCCCAAGGGACGACAGTGTTATAATTATGTTATCATCATATTATATCCATATTACAGACAGTATTCTATAAAGTCATACAGATGTTAGTACAGTTGCTGTCTCCATTGGTACATTTATGCTATTTCATAATGAAAACTATCTGTAGCTCACGGTCTGTGACTGCAAAGTGTGCTTTGCCAAAGGAAGTGGATCCCAGTGCAGGAGAATCTAGGCCTCTGTACGGGGCAGCTGGCCCTGCGGTCCCCAGGCTTTTGGCTCGGTGTCACGTTCCTTTAAATAGCCCTGTCCTGGGTCTAAGGTCAACCCTCTACTGTAAACTCGGCTGACCCCACCCAGCCTTAGGGGAGACCGAAGGGGCCACCGCCTCCTCAAGCTGCCTGAAGCTGTACTGTCCGCCGCGAGTCCCTCACTCGCGGAACTGAGGCTGTGGCCACAGTCGCCCGGACTCTGGACGTGGAGCTGGGGGAGGGTGGCCCAGCTCCACGAGGTCCGTCCTTCTGACCGTCCAGCTGGGCACAGGTGGAGGAAGTCCTGTGCTCTGGCAAAAAGCACAGAATGTGATCCACCACCGTCCTTTGCGCGCTCAAGATGCCGTGTTGTGGGGAGAGCGACGCACAGCTATTTATAAGTAGTATGACAGTTTTATAAAAGAAATTTTAATCACAGATCAGAAAAATGTCTGGTGAGGTATACATGAAATCTGTATGACGGGGTTAAAATTATGAGGGGGGGTTCACTTACTATTTTTTAAAATCTCTCTCTTTAAAAACTTAGTCATTATTTTATAACCAAAAAAAGAAAAAAGAAAAATCCACATGACGAGCAACACCTTTGAAAATCCTAGTGATGCACATGGGACTCTAGAGAGAGCCCTGCCTACTGAATATGGAGGGTGGGGGCTGATCTTCTGGAACAAGGGCAGGATGCATGGATCTGAGCTGTCCCGGGAAGTCTGGTGTCTGTGTCTGAGCCGCCCCGGGAGGACACCTGGTGTCCACATCACCCTTCCTGCCCCAAGCCTCAGGCCTCCCCTCGCTGGGTTACCTCAGCGTCCTCCCGTATCCATCCTCCGATTCCCTGCCCCAAGCCTCAGGCCTCCCCTCT